TCCTTTTGGGTTTTCTAAACCTTTTCCTTTTGGGTTTTCTAAACCTTTTCCTTTTGGGTTTTCTAAACCTTTTCCTTTTGGGTTTTCTAAACCTTTTCCTTTTGGGTTTTCTAAACCTTTTCCTTTTGGGTTTTCTAAACCTTTTCCTTTTTGGTTTTCTAAACCTTTTTCTTTTGGATTTTCTAAACCTTTTCCTTTCGATGGAGATAATGTTGGTGTGTTTGTTGATGGATTCTTGGACGAAGCGCTATTATTTTCCGTTTGTTTCTGACGTCCACCGGTCTGAGAGGAGCCACGAGGGGTTGTAGCATTACCGAAGCTCATGTACGAATCATATGTTCCTAAAATTTGATCTCGATATTTTGTATCGTGTTCACAACGAAAAACATGTTTTTGGCGACAAATAGCACATCGAAAATCTTCACGAATCGGTAAGTTGTTATTAGCAATAGCTACAGCCATCGATCAGTACATATATAACAGCAACAAAAGCAGCGAAAATATCAAAATAATATTATTGCACTTTTATTAAAACGAAGAAATCCTAAATTTACAACAAATACTTGTCTATAGAGCAAAATTAAAAGCTTCAAACGTGTAATTCCTATGAGCTCGAACAAAAGTTAGCGTTTGAGAGTTGTTTTTTTATCTCTTCTCTATAGACTCTCGCAATACTTAAAAAAAAGTAAAATTCTATAATCTGCGTTTTGTGTCTTTACAAAACAGAAAAATAGAAGAGAACTGAGTACATCCGATTTCCAGCTATAAAGAGCTGATGTGCTTAGGAATATAACTATGACACATCCTAGCTGCCAACTCCAGAGGTCAGAGAGTACGAGTATTTACTCTTACACGAGTACAGGTTGTTCGATACTCGTACTTGTACTCGTGATTTTATTTTTTAAATACTCGAAGGGATACTCGAGTACTTGATTTTAAAAATGTTGATGACACTCTCATCTACATTTTCCAAAAAATATAGGATTTTTTTCAAAATGGTATAAAGAAAAAACAAGAGTTAAGAATAATTGTTCAAATCTCGAAAAACTGAAAAGTAAATGACTTTGTATTTTTTAAATATCTCTTATACTCAACTATTACTCGAGTAAACGTTTGCTGTACTCGTAATCGAAAAATTGTGTATTCGACCATCTCTAGTCAACTCTCCAGATTAAAAAAGTATCAGTTTAATTTGCTAAAGCAAGGTTAGCAAAGCAGATATTGAAGTACAAAGAATATTTTTCTTTACCTTATTTTCGTAACTAAAACAGCTGTTTTCAATGTAAATATATTTCTATTTGTAGAAATTTGATAATTATTTTTGTTTGAATAAAGTAATTTACGATTTATTCACAATAATAATGATGATGTAAAAAAGAAAAAAATTAAATCTTTGACTTTTGTCAAACTTATTTTGACAAACAGAATTTTTTCCGTTTGATTGTTTTAATTTATCATATTCAATTTGAGAAACAGAAAAGATGGCTGATGCCTTTGTTTGGACATAAAAAATAAAGGAAAAGATCTTTGCATTCTATAGAACAAATTAAAAGTGTCAACCGAGATGAAGACAAGAAAGAGAAAGACGTTTACGCAAGTTTAAAATATATTTTAACTTTTATTCTTTATTCTTCCATGATTTTAACGACAAACATTTAAAAAACGTTTCTTCTCGTTTTTTTCTTTTTCTGTCATTGTCTATTATATTTGTTATTTGTAAATAAAGGACTTCAAGGAAATTAGCTGTTGCCAAGTGAACAGCACACAAGACAACAATCAATTGCTTTATTCAAGCATTTCAACAACTTCTTCTTCACAACTAAGAAAGGAAAAACACAATCACAAGTTAAATATCAATAAGAATACAAACAGGTTTTACAATGGGTGGAAGTGTTGAATCATAAGACTACAGCGTATGATCGATCAATCATATTAAAATCAAATTTATATAGATTGAGGAGTAGTGAAGATTTGTAGTTGCGCAAAAAACATCCATATCTATTAAAATGCATATCATGTAAGTTCAAACTATCTACTTGACAGAGATATACGAGTTTTAACTGCTTTTATACAAGTATGACTGAAGCATTCAAAATCAATTTATCATCTTGATCTTCACGTGTTACAGGAGTATTACAGTTCACGCTCAAGGTAGATCTTTTGAGTGTTACTTCGATTCTTCTTGAAACCTACTTGTTTATGGATGATTTTCAATGTTGAACACAATCTAAGTTTTTTATTTCAGTCAAAGTAAGAGTGAAGTTCTTCTCCTATAAAAAAAAGTGTAACTCAGTAAAATCTCGTTCGTTAGTTCTACTAACTTGTGCACTATTCAAACTCTATAATCTGGCACTAAAAGAATTTGTTTAGACAAAAATTCTTGATAGGTTTCAAGGAATTTTGAATTTAAACAAAGACTCTGAAAAGTTGTATGAGAACGAATAGATATCAGATTCGTGATCATCATAAAAAATCATCCATAAAAAAAGCAGGTTTTAGCGAGAATCGAAGTGACAATCAGAAGGTTTCTCTCGTCAGAGATTTATAGAGGTTGTCTTTCAGAGAAGCAACTGAGTACATTAGTTTTTTCTGCTAGAGCAAACTGAGTTTTTCAGAGGGCATCCGTTTTTTCTCCATTTTTCTCTTTCTAGATAAATTTCTCAGTTCATTCACCTCGAGGCGAAGTACAATTAAAGTAGTTCATGTGTCAAGTTTACCAAAAAGTTACAAATGTACATGCAACCATAGTTTTTAAGACACTGTTGAATACCTATATTTAATCTTATCATGTAAACTGTATTAAATTCTGGGACTAAACTAATTGGATGTTGTATATTATTTTTTGTATTTCACCGTAAAAAAACCCAAAATTTCCGTTGCTTAAACATACACCTGTTTAAAGTGAGGAGTTTTTGTTGGTGACAAAATATTTGTCATCAGAAAAACCTCCCCAAGAAGAAAATATTAATGCAGTAAAAATAGAACTTAAATAAAATCTTAAATAAAATTTTTTTATAAATATCACAAAAAAATTTAAAAATAAAACCTTCACAAGAAAAAGCATCTGAAATGAATATAGCAAGTAACGCTTCTCTTTTTCGGAAATATTCTATATAATAATATGAGATTCAATATATAATAACCGGCTGATAAACGTGAAGTTTTTCATCTATTTTCGAGCTTTCTCATAATTTGCCACAAACCACTCACATGATTCTTTTACAGCTAGAACAAAAACGAATAATTGATAATACTAATTCATTTTCTTTTTCAAAATAGTATACCTTCCTCGAATGGTGTAAAGTTAAAATCTGGTAAATATGTTCGTAGTTTTTTGTTACTTGCCGTTTTTTTGAACTGTCCATCCGCTCGGGATGTATCATACTATTTAACGTTAAGTTAAGAATATTTCACAACTACTAAGGAAAAATTGTTCATTATACGGTAAAACCTCTATCATTCTGAAATATACTGATCAAAAAGGATACAGTCACTTCTCCTTTAAAATCCATTGCTTTTACAATAGCATCTGCTGCTTGTCTGATTGATACTTCATCTTCTTCTCCAACTAAAAGAAGATCAAAATAAGAAAATATGTTATCAAAATTATTCATCGTGTACTAACCAGATAAAATAATTGGCTCAATACTGTCGTAGTCTCGTAATACCCATAAATATAATTTAGCAAGATCTAGTGAATAAATAAATTGTCTTAAGGGTTTGCCTGAAATAAAGAAAAAATATTTTTTCGGTTCTTGCTGACTAACTTCTTGCACTGTGTTCTACTTACCAGAACCCCATATAATTAATGGTGTATTGTTCTCTAAAATATAAAAAATAATACTTAAGTCAACACAAGAAAAGAGCTAATCGTTCTTTTTCTTATGTTGTCTATAGTTCTGAACTGTAGATTCTTACTTTTTGCTAGATAACATTTATGAATAAGACCGGGTAGTACATGACCATCTTCAATATTGTAATTGTCATTCGGGCCGAAAACATTTGTTGGAATTACTGATGTGTATTTTCGCCCGTGTTGAACAGAATATCCTCTAGAAAAATTAATTTGATTTACATTATTTTAAAAACTATTTAGCAAAAAATCTGTTTCAATTTATGCTTAAATAAAGGCTTCAAACTGCTTGATTTGATTAAGGTAAACTACATAGGATCTTATTTTTAGTTTAACGATGGCACCAGGTATCCTAGTTTTCAAATGATCCATACATTACCTGTTCATGACATCAATCATTCGTTTAGCGTAAGAATAGCCAAAATTCGAATCGTGTGGTGGTCCTTTGTGTACCTTAAGAAAATATGAAAAAGGATATTGTATCTAAATAAAAACCTTGAGAATGACGATCATTTACCATTGTTTCGTCGATTGGATAAGTTGTGTTATCCGGAAATATACAAGTTGAAAGACAAGAAATCACTTTTGTTACGCCAAACTCATGTGCTATACTAAGAACATTGTCATTCATTTGCATGTTATCTCTCTTAAAAAGAAAAGAATTCTCGCAAATAATATATAATAATACTGTAAACACACACACGATCAGACGTACAAAAAAATCAAGATTTCGACCTAAATTTCGAAATAATCCTCCTACTAATGCAGCCAGATGAATTACATGAGTTGGTTTATATTTCTGAAATAAAGCTACTGTTTGATCACGATTTCTAAATGACATGTAAAAAATATTTATTTTCAATCTTGTAGAAAAGGTTCAATACTTACCTTAAATCACATTCACTCGAGGATATAAAAAAATACTGTTCATTCTGATATTTCCCTTTTTCTGCTTCTACAACCTGTCGAATGGCTGATCCTACTAATCCCGTGCCCCCTGTCACAATAATTCGTTTCTGTTGGTTATTGGCCATTTCAATACTGGATCTGAAAATTAAAATAAATAAATTTCAAAATTTGATAACAATCACCTTACAAAAAAAATTTCAGTACAGCATTGCCACTGCGCATGGCGTGCCATGTGTCACTGCCACTGGCTGGCACGGGTGCCCGGTAAGTACCAAACCAGTGCCAATTGGCATTGGTGCGTACTGGCAGTGCCTCATTGAAATTTTTTCTGTTGTCAGAAAAGTGCGGCACTGCTAAAAATCAATACAAATTTTTACCAGTGTCGCATGGAAAATTATTAAGCCAATAAATAGTTTTTATCATAGTTGCTTTTACTTAATTTTGTAATAATCAGAGTCCAGGGCTGATATATATCAGTATCATATTGTCATGCCATAACCATGGGGCACCACCTCGATACTTCTCTTGTGAGAAGGAAAAGATATAGTCAAAAATACAATTGAAGTATTATGCGTATAGCATGATTTTTATATAGACAGACGTTGACAAAGAAAACGGTGATTGAAAAATAAAATTCTCGCATAGATGTGCACCCGTACCTATATAGAGTGTACACTATGAACACTCGTTTAGGACTGGTGCGCATCGATGCTCAGAAAAAAACTATTCGGCATCGGTGCACATCTGTGCACAACCAGTGCCGATAACATCTTTTTTTGCACGGTAACGTATTAAAAAATCCGAGCAAATCCTAAATAAACACAGTAACTACTGCAGAAACCGGATGTATTCTATACATAAAAAACGATACATAAAAAAGTATTCAACTAAAAACTAACAAAATTTCAAAATTATCTAAAAATTTTATTTTGATCAAATGTATTTTTTTTCATGTCTGACTTCCCTTCAGTCAATATCTCATGTCCGTCAGCTGTTATAGCCACTGTATGTTCAAACTGTGCACACCGACTATGATCTACTGTTTTTACTTGAATATCATCTTCACATAATTCGACTTCACCTGTTCCTTCACAAACAACAGGCTCTATGGCCAATATCATTCCTTCACACATTTCCAGTTTCATTTGTTCATCGTTTAAATCGAGATAGTGCAAGATTTGTGGTGGTTCATGTAATTGTTCGCCAATTCCATGACCACATGCTGGTTTTACAATGGTTAAACCGTGTTTTTTTACATATTCTTCGCATACTTGTCCAATCATGGATAATCGCTGTTTGGGACGACACACAGCTACAGCTAAATCCCTACATCGTCGAGCATGATTAACTAAATAATGAGCATCTTGGTCATGATTATCTTCTAATTCACTACCCACAATAAACGTTTCACTTACATCACCAAAAAAGCCGTTGTAATAAACGCTAACATCGATTTTTAAAATATCGTTTATTTTTAATGCACGCGAATCAGGTATACCATGTACAACAATATTATTCACACTTGTACAGCAAGACTTCGGAAAACCATCGTACTTCAATGGTGCAGGGTAACAACGTAATGCTATACATGTTTCATGAACATATTTGTCTAGTGTGTCGGTTGTTGTTCCAACTTTTATATATTCTGCTACTGTATCAATCACATTTCTCGCCTTTTGACATGCCATTCGGACTCCTTCCAATTGCCATGGACTTTTAATTAATGATCTATTTTGATAGTCGTTTTCTAAACCATAAATGTGATTTGGTCTTGGAATATCCTTGGGCACCGAACGACTTGTTTTATAATAGACAGGTTCAGGTTTAATTATATCATACGTCGTAGTCAATGATAATCTTGATGATTTTGCTTTTAATGAACGAAAAAAACAGCGTTGCTGATACAAAATCAAAGTCAGTTCTTTTGCTGAGTGCAATTTCATCTTGGCTAAATCAACATCGTTTTCTGAGTTATTGAATAAAAATAAATTTCTGAACAAACAGAACAATTATACTTCTAAACTAATGTCATTTGATCAATAAAATTATAGAAGATTGGATGTGTACCGAAGCCCTGTATAACTTAACGTTCACTCTCTGAGAGCTTAATCAAAAACTTTTCAGATGCAGAGAGTTCTCCATCCAAAGAAGCAGAGCATTTTCAATACCCAGGCTACGCCATAGCAGTGCACACCGTAAACTTCAGCGTGCAATGCACTTCTCAAAGTTGCACTTGATTGCTTTTTAGTAACCGATAACTTAACTCACTATCATGACCGCTTTATTTACTACTGCTTCAAACGTGCTACTATCAACTTCCAGGTTGCCTAAAGCTTTGATAAAAGGGATTTGATATAAACTTATTCAAGGAATAAATCATCATAAAGAAACTCCTACGATGGGTTCGATTTGTAGACTCTAAAACATGTAACTAATCAACCAGATACACATATTAATACACTAACATGAAAGTTTTGTGAAAGTTTTATCCTTGGCTTCAAGTACTTCATAACAAGCTGATCATGGTGTATGCAAGATAATCTTGCAATAAGTTATTCCATGAAATTTCACGGAAAATTATCCTCGCAAGAAATAATAGTACGCATTGACCAATCACAAAATGATAAACACTTTTGCATTTCTTTGTAAACCGAAAAGTATATAATTGTAACCTACTCAGAGCGACATCTGATCAGATATTTCGAACATTCTTGGATAATAAATAAAAAAGAAGTAACTACTTCATGCAAATTAACATAACTCTTTTTCAGAACCTACGTTCAAAAACCTACGTAGAATAGAGTACATAATTTATATTTTCAACATGGCCAGTTTTTCGTTGCAGCACCAATAAAGTCAGCCATTTCCATGTTGTTGAATGACAAGGTAACGCTCGTCTGCACTCGCCTGGTCCCTTGACTTTAGGAACTTAATATCTACGAACGATCCTCCATCACTTTTGAATCCACAACAAGGCTCACGCCTCCCTTCGGTCGGCGTTCGCAGCCAGTAAAGCTAAGAAACGCTGTGAACTTCGCTGATTCCACGGGAAAACCGTGTTATGTAATATAAAGCTAAAAGGTTTTCTGGACACCGTCTGCAGATCCCCAGGAGGTTGGAAGTATATCTAACTGATTCTCTATGATAGATTATCTCTACACTGTAAGTTTTATTATCCGTAGATGACTTTCTTCGGTACTATCACAGTTTACGGCTGTATTTTACATGTTTTCACATTTAAAACAGAGTGACAATCGAGTATTCCAAATAAAACTCATTTTGCTTCAGTTATTTTAAACCTTGGTTTCCTCCCTATAACGCTAATATAGCTTATGATCGTTCCAGTTATACTAAGTCTATTAGCACCCACTATTATATTTTCTTTGGTGGACGGTCATGAAAATTACTCAACATGACTTAAACAATTTATGCACGAAAATGAGAGTCATCAGAAGACACTGAGCGATCTATAATAACAACACCTCAATCCGAACAACTAAGCGAGAGTAGTAATACAAAGATTAAAAACTATTATTAAAATATAAGGTAGAATTTAAGGTATCGAACAAAGACAAAGAAGTAAAAGAAATATAAAGGTAAAGGCACAAACAAAAAACACGAATTAATCAGAAATATGGTTGAATTTTTACTATAAAAGATTTTGAGATAGAACTCTTTTAAACGACAGACGATAGAGAAGAACGAATTACTAATTCCTGTAGTTCACTCCAGTTAGTTAGTGACAGTTGTAAAGCAAAACAAAAAGACTGAATTGTATAAGAAGAAAGACAATTAACAAGACATGAAATTCCGATATATTTAGAATGATGTTGAGGTAAAAAAGTATAGTGTGGACAATGAATAGAATAAAAGCGGGAAAGACACCTTAGATAATGGTATATTTTTTTAAATAACTGTGTAAGTCTCAAGTATTTCCAGCTACGAGAGATTTGGAAAAGAGGGTTGTGATAGACGTGAAGAACGATGATTAAATTAAAGTTCTACAAATAACGCGTGCAGGAAGTTCACTTACACTCAAGTCAACGTTCCGCTATAGTCGCGGCGTGACTCGCGCGAAAAGATCGCCTCTCGCGCTCGCAGTAAGACTCGCGAAATACGATTCAGGATCACGGTTTTCCCATGATTAGCTAGAGACCGCATCTAATTTCGCGGTCACTGTGATCGGACTCTTACATTTATGGCAAGAGCCCAGATAGTTTTGAGCGTACTCTTACACTCACATTGTGACTGTTGGTCCAGTCGCTATTGCTATAGCGACTTCGGAAAAACAACTTTTTCGAGACATGAACCACGACGGGCACAGCGAGAATTCCGAAAATATTTTTTATTGTCAGGTATGTCCAGGATTAGTTAATTCCTGGAAAAGTCGCATTCCTTCTGAGAACGTGGCTTTGTGCGAAAATTAAAGTTCAGAAAGGAGTGAGTAAAAGTTCTAATGTTCCTTTCGCTCTTTTATATAAGTTCGGTTTCGAAACAAAACGGTGACTGAGTTCTGGATCGCAACTACAGATTTATTCGCATTTCTCAACATAATTTTGGGAGTTTAAGCGGTTCGGGATATAAAGTAGCGACTCCCGCAAAACTGTAAGACTCTATGATCCCGGCGCGACAAAAAGTCTCAGCGAAAGTCATAGACAATGTTTTTAAAAAGTTACAATCTATCCAAGATCATGCCGCGGCAAGTTGAGTCAGCCGCGCGCGTGCAAAGACTGCGTGTCTCCACCATGATCACGATGGAACAAGTGCGAACTTGTAAAGATTATGGGTACGACACCGGAATCATGACGCGAATGAAGCGCGACAGTTGACTTGGATAGAGTCAAGAAAACGATCTATCATACAAGGCATAACAATAATCAAAGTTAGGAAGAATGCAGGAAAGAAAGAATCGACGCCGAACTTCTACTTAAGCTAATGTTAGACAAGATTTAGAGATTCTCGATTGCGCCGGCAAGCCAGAGCAATGTCACTGATAGGCTCACTCCACCGAGATTGTGTAAAACGAGAACATATTAACGTTAAAATTTTTATTAAGAATTTATTTTTTATGTGAAAAGGGTTCAAATATTCACTAATTCTTCAAAAAAATCGGTCAATATCAGTGGAATCGATTATTCTGATCAATAATTCGCGCAAGATACAAGTGAAATTTCCCAAAAAAATTTCATGTATACTTTACTGAAATTATAAAAGAGTAGTAGCAACGTTGGAAACAAAAGAGTTGTGTTACTTTGCATGAAGTAGTTTGATTAAACTTCTTTTTATTTATTATCGAAGAAAGTTCGAAACACTTGATCAGATGTTTCTCTGAGTAGGTTACAATTATACTTTTTGGTTTACGAAGAAATGCAAAAGTGTTTATCATTTTGTGATTGGTCAATGCGTACTATTATTTCTTGCGAAGATAATTTTCCGTGAAATTTCATGGAACAACAAGATTATCTTGCATACACCACGATCGGCTTTGATACGAAGTTCTTGAAGCGAAGGAAAAGCTTTCACAAAACTTTCATGTTAGTGACCGCATTTGTAAATGTGGTTCTTTCTAGAAGAAACTAGTTTGGCCAACAAGATTACGTCTTGCTTAGTGTAATAGCTTTTCCCTAGCTAACGACGAATTTACTTACATCATTGTTCTAATGATTGATGGTTCTTGTGAAAACACAGTGTTTGGAAGACCGATTTGAAAAATCAGACTTTTCGAATGTTCTTTTAATTTCTTTTCTGATACTCTCCTTTTACGGAAGCGATACTTATATTATGACAATGGTGTATTGATTTCTACCAGTGTCGTATACAAAGTTATAGCTTACAATTCAAGCTATTAACTTTGGTGAGGCTGTTTTACCATGGGATGCTCGAAATTACTGTCCACTTTGTGTTTTAGAGCAAAGTGGAAAGTGCTACGTTGATTAGAAAACTCATTCAAAACGATGATTCGTATTTTAACATCTTATGTTGTTTTGTGTGTTTTTAGAATTTCATGTCGACTATTCCTGTATCTAAACAAACAATCGCTCAGTTCTGGTTGAATATTTTGAACCCAGCAATATTATATAAGTGTGAACAACAAAAGCAATCGATTATTTCAAAAAATTACGCATTTGATAATACAAACGTTATACAAGATTTATTACAGTTTAAACTTCACAACAATATCACCACAAGTAATGAACAATTCACTGAAGCGTTAGAACAATATGTTTATAAGACAGTAAATGAAACACGTAAAAATGTTGTAGAACAATTACTGAAGACCATACCGGATAATAGTGGGAATAATTCGACTTCTCTTACAAAGCTTGCACGTAACCGTCGTAAATCATCGATAAAAAATATGTCATCGGCAACTAGGAAAGAAAATATTTTATTCAATATTAACTTAGTTATTGATAATAGCGATGAATTTGTTACAGATTTAAATGATAAAGATATGACAGATGTATCCAACAACAACAACGAGAAAACTGTAGAAACAAATGAAAAGTTGATCGTTGCTACAGAAGTGCCATCTGATGGTAACGAATAATTTTTTAATCTAGGAGCTTAGTTCACCTTATTTAGCTATTTTTAAGCGGTATCGTCGTTTTTCGGATCTCAGAGTACTGTAAATATAATATCACTGCCTTTGTTATGCATCGTGACTAGAGAGGGAGAAAAACTCTGTTTTACATCCATCACCTTAATATTCGATTCCTATTTACGGTCCTGATCGTAATAGCAATGAGATTCCCTGTGAGTTGTCAGATGAAGAGACAGTCGTGCGTAACTGTCGGATTGATAAACATCTCGGTCTAATATTTACTTATCTTTGCTTCTATTTGTAGAACGAACAATCGAAAATATGTTGTTAATATTGAAAGAACATAACCCCACCGTTATCATTGATCGTTTAAATAATTTTATCCGTCCATGGTTAATTGAAAAGGAATTTGAGTTAAATCCTGTTGAATTGTTTTCGTCAATAAACGAAATAATGAATAGACATATCAAATATTTTATTCCCTATTGCTTTCTACAATGGATTGTTGATGGAGAAAAAAAATGTTTATTTTATAAAAATGAAAAATGTCGATTATTTTTATTGAGTCTGTTTGATAACATTTCGATGATGAACGAACGTTATAATTTAATTGTGAAACTGTGTGAAAATACATCAGAAATATTTTCTTTTATTGAACTTTGTTTAGTTGAAAAATGGTTTGATGTTAATGATGCATATTTCACAAATGATCTACATGATTTATTTACAAAAAAAATTAACACATCGTCGAGTGAACTCTGTGGAAATGTATTCTGTTCAAAACTTCTTATTAAATATTTAACAAAATATGGTCAACAACTAACAAATGATCAACGTCTGATAATTAAGCACACAATTGATAACAATAAAACACCATTTCAACGAATTTTACTCAAATGTTACGAAAAACTAGGATAGAATTAGCTTTTTTTTTCAGTCATATATCTAGTCATTTTTGCAATCAATTTTTTTGTAATTTTCCACTTATCAAAATAAGAACAGTTGTTTTCTATTTTTTTAAAATACACTGTTACCAGAGTTGAAGAGGCTAACATTAATCATTACCAGCACATCGCATTGTATACAAACGTCTTTTGATGATATTCAAATCGTGTGGTGATATCCATACTGACGATCTTGTAATATTAGAATCTCTTGTTGTTGCTCTCATTCATAGGCTTAATTTTTAGACAATGAGTTCCGGTGATCATGAACAACGTTTACCAAAAGATGGTTTAATTGTTCAAACAATGTTACAAGAAATGGGTATTACAAATTATGAGCCAAAACTAATACCAATGGTTTTGGATTTTATGCACAGTAAGTATTTAATCTAGTCTTTTATAAAGTATCTTAGCTAATTTCGATTTCTGTTTTTAATTTAGAATATACAACAGACATATTAGAAGAAGCAAAACTATTTTCAATTCATGCTGGAAGAAAACAAGTTGAGTTAGATGATATTAAATTGGCGTGTCATAATTGGGCAGAAGAACATTCAACTATGCCATCAAAAGAGGTGAGTGTGTTTATTTATCACTAAATAATTAATTATTTTTCTTAAATATCTTTAGACATTAATTGAATTAGCAAAAAATAAAAATCGTAATCCATTACCTGCAATTCGAAATTTTGTTGGTCCACGGTTACCACCAGATCGTTTTTGTTTATTAGCGCCAAATTATAAATTGAAAGATACTGAACAAAATAATCACGTAAAAAATTTCAATTTTTAAGACCATTAAATATTTCACCAAATGTTTCTGTATGTCTTTAGGCGACAAATGCAAATGGTGCAGCAGTGTTAGATAATCAACAACATAGATCTGTTTCTTCGTCGTTTAATGCATCCAATGTATCACTTCATTCTATGAGTAAGCGATTTTAATGCTGCATTTCTAGTGGTTCAATGTGAAGTCAAATTGTGATCACTAATGATCAGAGATTTGAAAGTGATAGAGAGATTAAAGACTAAATTTAGATTATTATCTGTTTTAAGTGTAAGAATGAACTATTTTGTACATAAAACTGCTCTGCTCACTGCTATGGTTACTCGCAGTGCGATTATTTACATGCCAGTCTAAATTTATTGTTGTTTGTATTTTAGATAATGCAACAGCATCGAATGCAAATTTCATAGCAAGTGATTTATTTCCGACGAAACGAAAAAAGGTTGATGAGGACGATGAGGATGATGACTATGATAATTAGGTTTTTTTGTGAAAAGCCAATTAGTTATGTCAAATGACATTTGATATTTATTGTATAAATTGTTATATTTTCTTTTTATCTGTTTGTTTGTCTCTAATTTAGTATCAATAATTGAACGAGAACAAGTTTATCGTACTTGTTGTTTTCGTTGGGCTAGTAAATTTCAAAAAAATTCAAGACATATACGCTTCTTGGGACTATTGTATTCAGATTACTACTTTGTTTTCTTTTGTGGTAGAGATCTAACCGGTATTACAGAGAAAACGGCATCTGTACCAGAAATACTTTAATGATACAAATGAATTTGTTTAAAACATATGTACAAGCTAAGAAAACTACAAAATTCTAATTTTTGATGTATATTAGTAATTAAATCAGGAGCTCTGGATATGAAGTAGAATGTAGAAAATAAACATCTTTATAAGGACGTATGAACTGTATATTGTGTTCTAACAATACGATTCTGCTTTGCAAAATTCACTGCTGTTTGGTCACATTTTCTGTGAACATGTTTCTTGTATATTTTGTCTGTTTGAGTACGACAAATAATAGTTTCCGGAATATACTTTGAATGAGCTTTTAGATATATACAGTTACACTAGGTATATCGTAACCACTTATCTAATGGCCCAACTTTCTTTTGAAGAAGCCTATAGTGATAAGAAATTAGATAATATATACCATAACGTTACTTGCAATAGAATAGAAAAGAAAATACTCTCTAATTCTCTCTGTTCTGATGTTTTCATTTACCAATACGTCATCGTTCGTTTTCGTACAATTACGTTTTTTGCTCTTCTGTACTGTAGTAGAGTAGATGCCACGTAAACATATTTTTTATCTTATATATCCTTGTTCTTTTGTATATATGTCTGTAATGAATCTAAATAAGTTGACTCCCTCTACTGTATAGACAGATAACGTATAGGATAAATGCAGGATTAGTCTCGTTTTCCTTTGGCAGTATGTAAGGTAGAAATAGGATTATAGGTTATATTTAATTGGGTTTCACTTAATTTAACGGATTAATCACCTGTTTATTTATTCGCTATTTAGATGAAGTCTGTTTTTTATTCTCTTCAACTTTTTCTAGATTTCTGCTGGAATCATTTTTATTTTCGTCTAAATGTCTCGTTCTTTTATTAGTATTTTATGTTTTACACTAATTGTTGTTCAAGCTGGTCTTGTACCTCAAACAAACGATGAACATAAAGCACGAATTTTGGATCTTGTAAGAAGATTCTCTGTTTTATTTTGTCTGATCGCTTATTGTTTTTTCTGTTATATTTAAATTAGCCTATTAGTCAACAACAACACTTTACCGATTTAAGTCAAGATAATAAAATCGAACATAACAGTGAATATGATCATGAAGCATTTCTGGGTGTTGATGACGCAAAAACATTTGATAAATTATCACCAATTGAAAGCAAAAAACGCTTAGAGTTAGTATCATTCATTGTAAAATATAATGTGCTCTTCGGTTTTTCGAATAACATCTAGTAGAAAAATTATGAAAAGTCATGTTTTCCACTGTTATATACAGAATACCGAGCATCGCTCTGTTAAAAAGTTTAGTTTCTCCATCACCTGATAATAATATGACAATAAAATATGCATAACTCAGTCAAAATCACTTCAACCGGTTTAATAATTTAGTTTTGTTTCTCATTACGATATTACGTTGAAAAGCACAATAGCTAAGAAAACTTTGAAAGTTTTTCAAGCTATCTTCGCAAAACTCTATATCCGTCCTGTGGTGTTTCAATATTTTTTACTGTACTTGGACCGAAACCATGTATTCTACTCGAATATTTAAGCAAATGTTGTCACAATATGTTCTTCGATAGCAACTACAGCACCACCGCGAAATTTATTGAGTTACTTAAAACTTTAGAGCACACTATATTCTGATCTAGATGGTAGATTTGAATGAAAAAGAAAGACTAGTATTTATGTTCAATTTTTAGAATTTTAGTTGATAAAATTGACAAAGATCATGATGGATATGTGACCAAAGTAGAACTGAAAGACTGGATTAAACTTATACAAACACGTTACATAACAGAAGATGTTAATCGCCAATGGCACCAAATAAATAATGATACGGATGAGTTCATCACATGGCAAGAATACGATAATGCGACATATTATGCACTATGTATGTATGGCAATAGAATAGTACTGTTCTAAAATTTATTTATGATTCTATATTTTTCAAGATGACTCACATCCAGATGATGAAAAAACGACTGAACATTATCTTCGTTTACAGAAGAAAGATCGACGGCGGTATGCATCTGCATTCATTTTTCATCATTATACCATAGATTAATGATTTATATCCACAGGTTCAATAAAGCTGATTTAAATCTCGATGGCAAATTAAACAAAGAAGAATTTGCTGATTTTACGCATCCGGAAAATGCGCCACGTATGAAAGAACTTGTTATTACAGTAAGAATAAATATTTGCAGAGAAATCTGTGATTACATACGCTCAGATAAAGAAACTGTTAAATAATTCAACGTATTTTAGGAGACGATTGAGGATATTGACAAGAATGGTGATGGTTTGTTGAGCATTGAAGAATATATTGGTAAATTTCATTGTATAATAGAGTAATATTAATTAATATTTGTTTTTTTGTTACTAGGCGATATGTGGAATAGTGAAAAGGGACTTGAAGAACCTGAATGGATTAAAAATGAACGTGAAAATTATAAAAAATACCGTGATCTTAATCATGATGTAGGTACAACTTTCTTTTTGTTCAACTTAGATTCTATAGAATTTTCTGATGAAAGTATTTCCTTCTTAGCAATATATGGATCGAGAAGAAATTGAGAAATGGTTGATGCCATCTGATTACGATCATGTCGAAGCGGAAAGTTCACATTTGATAAGAGAAGTTGATGCAAATAAAGTAAGTTTTATATTACCAATTATCGTATGTTTAATTTGATGTTATTTTCTTTTTACGTAGGATAATCAGTTGAGTAAAAATGAGATACTGAATAAATATGAAATATTTGTTGGTTCTCAAGTCACAGATTGGGGAGATGCATTACAACATGAAGAGTTTTAAACAACGTAATTATGAAAAAGTAATTAATGCATATTTAGTCATTATTGGCCAATTATAATATTAATCAAAAGCGATCAGTGCAATGTTTCATTATTCTCAGAGTTAGTTCATAATACAACGAAATTATGATAGTTGATTTTTCTTTTAGCACTTATTTTCTCAACAACAAAGCAACGAATGATTTTTTTGGCATTTTTTATTTATTGTTGTTATATTTTTAATTCTGAATAACTCATTGTTATTTCTCAAGTCATTTTCGATAATTTTATGTTTTTCTTCTACTTTTATAGTTTTTCACTTTTATACATTTATATACATATACCCAAGATAATTATACTTAGAAAAATGGTAAAAATTAGTTGTGCATGTTTGTTTATCCAGCAGATTCAAAGCATAAAAATCTTCTTTCGATACAAAACACGGGAACCTGACAAATTTTTATGGAATGTTGCTTCTACCTAGATTATATAGAGTAACCTTTTCAGCTTGAAAATTTGAGTTTTTACAGAATTATCTCAAAATAGTAGTCAGAAAGTAGCTATAACCGTTTCCTACATCTCTCCTCTATTGATATTGCCACATGACTCGGTTTGGTGTCAAAATGATAGAAAGACTTGCAATTATGACTAAACAGAGTCATATTTTCGAAGTTTTGTTATAGTTATTTCTCGCAGAGGTTTAATCTCAATAGTTCGAAAACTGCTTTGCTAATTTTTTAGAAATCTTAGTTTTTCTCTAAAACTAAGGCAAAAGTCAACTGGAGAGCAATTGTACTGCGCACAAGCTGCGATGTCGACAGACTCTGTCTCTGCTGATAACTGCCAAAAGTTACCAATTTAATCAGTAGATTTCCACTGCACCGCTTTCACATTTAACTTTCTATGTCAACTAGTTTAAAAGACGTAATTAAAGAGAATAACAGAACAGAGAACGAAATATAAAAAACAGAAACAGAAATGAGAGAGAATTGTTTTTCTTCGTAAGAAATAATGGTGCCGGACAACTAATGCTAAGGAATTTTAAAAACTTTCAAGTCCAAAACGCATTTTTTCCCCACTTGTGTAGCTTATGGCACCGAATCTGGGCTTCTGTTTGAAAAAAGAACGTGCATTGATCAATTTCCAATGTCGGAAGATTATCCTCGGATTTTCACAAGTTTCCTAGTTCTGCAGATCACATTGTGCACATTTTGTAAAAAAGATTACTAAATATAAAAAACAAAACAAAATCCCTGCAAAAACTCATCATGTTTGCCGCCGTAAAAACTCTGACGCTGTTTAGTCATATGCACAAGTCTTTCTATTATTTTGAGACCAGCCGAGCGTTTTAGCACTTAAAATAAAGAAGAAATCTAGGAAATGATAGATCTAAGTCAAACAAGTGACTTAAAAAACGCAAATTACTTTTCGCTTTCAAAAAGTTGATTTTTCTGGGGACGTCAGACTACAAAAACCTTGTTTATAGTTTTCTCCAGTTTTCGGTCATGGGAAAGCTGCATGCACACAGGTGTCCTCAGATATTAGTTTTTGCAGATATTTTTTCCTAAAATGATTACCTTTTTAACTGATGGAACTGGTGTTTAATAGGTTAGGATAGGTAGCATTACATTATCGGATTACCACGGCATTGTTTTTTGGCGAAAATAACTATTGCTGCCAGGATGGTTAACTTAATTACAGAAGAACTTTATGAACAATTGGCACACGTATAATAATTATAAAAGATTTTCTCGACAGAAATGTGTGATTTGTATACTAACTGAGCTATAAAAAATAGGATCAAATAGAAGATGATAGATATGTAACAAGTTGTATTTCGATTCAGAGACAGTAAAAACAGACTCAATGGAACTGATGAAATTTGAGACTGTCTGTAGTAGAGTTTTTTTTCATTTTTTTTCGTAGCTGGGTAGTACAGGGCGTATTGATTTGTCTAGGAAACAGATTGAACTTTGTCGAAATTAGAAAACTATTCACGTTTATAAAGCTCGAAAACAAATTTTTCGTGAATAAAAACGTGGCGGTACACTATAATTTCGTTAAAACTTGTTTAACACAGTTTAAGGTAGGCAATAATGTAACATTAGATTATCTCTAGAGAAAATGTTCTGTTGATCTAACCAGTCGCCAAAAACGGAAAAGTTTCTAAGAGTTCATAAAAAAAGTAAAGCAAGAGAAATTGCGGTAATTTCCCTGAAGAATATTTCTTTCAGTTACTTAAGTAAAACACTTAAAACAACAAAAACAATATGCTAAGTTCGAATAAAAAATTTTCTTTACTAGGTGTAAATATTTTTCTTATAATATGAAAACAAAACTTAAATTAAATTATGTTTCGAGCAAAGCGTCGAACATATCTTTGGCCTTGTTCACATCGTAACAGAGTGATTTTTTATATAATCCATTAAATAAAGATTTCTCCGCGATTCTAAGGTGCTAGAAATTCGAAATTTGAACACCATTTTTTTTCTCAATAAATGGCAGCTCCTAACAATACATAATCACTTAACGTGAAAAATAATAGTAAGAATCTTACGTAAATCCTATGCTTTTAGGATTCTCCATGATTTGTACGATAGGATTCTACAAGTTTCTTTGATTGAATTCCTACATCGATGGACTG